AATATGTTGTGAAAAATATCGCAAACGAATGGAAATCTATTGACTTCCTTCTTTCTATGCTTATTTCCCTTCATCTTGATCTCAATACCATTACTTTGTGAAGTCTGTAGCGGGAAATAATTCCTTAAAATCAATAACTTTAGGCTTGATCTTCATAGTTTTTAAATAAGTGGCTAAGCTGATGATGTATGGTCAAATATCCACACCATTTAGCATGTTTTCGTGTGACGTTACGTCGTGTTACTCCTTCACAATCCTCTAACCAGTCAGTCAAAATGTTCCAGTATTTTTGGTGCAGTTCATCAAATATCCTTCTTTTACCTGGTGAGCATATCTCTTTCCGTTCTTTTGAAATATTACAAAGAATATACATTATTTACTATGATAACAATGACTTGTTTGTTATTGTTACCTTTCATTAACAATGTTCATCAAACTGCTTTATGCTAACAGAATTATACTTGTCTACGTTTGATTTTCTAAATTTCTCAGCTTAAAGGATACTTTATAAGCTTATGTGATGCGTGCTAGGTTTTAAAAGGCCGAGAAAACATGTGATTCTTAGTGTAAGCGAAAGACGTTGGCACTATTATTATTTTTCCCATGGTTTCCCAGTGGAATATACGGCTTCAGTAACACGCCTCCTTTGCACTCTCTTCTCCGCAGTCTTACCAACCTCGCTCCACGACTGCCCACAAGCTTTCATTTCTTCCTCACGTGATCTCCTCCATATCACCTTTGCCTCGGAAGCCCAACTCGTAGAGTCCCATTTACATTCCACTCGACGGCCTGGTGCATGATGTCCCCAATCGGCCTTCTCAGCGTATGCCCAATCTATCTCCACTTTCTTCTGCATATTCGTTGGGCGATAGGTTCTTGCTTCGTTGGTTCATTCCCAGAGTTCCTTGTTGTTTATTCTTTCTGGCCTTCACATCTAATCTTCACTATTGAGCGTAGGCAGCTGTTGATTAATGTCTGTAGTTTGTTGGAAGTGTTTTTCGTGACATGCCAAGTTTCTGAACCATATAGCAGCACTGACTTGACATTAGTGTTGAAAATACGTTGGCACTATGATATAGTTCCATATCACATTGTTTCTTTGATGAGATAGTACACAGTAGTACAGTACTATATACTGGATAACATTTTGTGCAGGATTTATGTATTCCTCATATTCATATCAGAGTAATCACCTTTATATAGTCCAACAGTTCATTCATTTGTTTATTTTGATGGTAGTAAAATTTTCCAGATGTCTGCAGTCTGAGATGAACCATCCTTGTTACATGTATGTCAGGTTTACTTGGAATAAGAATACTATCAAGTATGTCGGAGGGAAATTAAGCTATCGAATATAGCGTCCATAATTCATCGATTCAGAAGAAAAGGCATAGCTGAGAATATCAAGTTTGGATGATATTTTGACATTTTTGACAGATGAGTAGTTTCTCAACTATCACCCAACTATGGTACCACTCAACACGGTCTCTGCTGGTAACTGTCTCACAGCTAAGATCATAATATATGGTCTCTGAAACAAATATCTAATGTACTAGCGAAACATACCACCACTGAACAACAGTTGGAAACAACTTAGGCTGATGTGTAGATCTAGTTAGCCAAATCTGAATGATGTAACCCCTGAAAGGCCATTTTGTTCATTTGCCTTTGAGCTGTGGTGTTTAGATCATTCTAGTCTTGCTGGCAAAATCTGCATATCAGCCTGAGTGAGTTCTAGCTACTTAAATTGTTTAGTAGTTATATAAGTGTCAGATTTATCATTCAAATAGGGATAAAAATTATGAGAAAAGCTACTGTTTGCACTTCAAAGTTTATTGGAAAGGTGTTGTTTTTCTGGTTAACATAACTTTCCTGCCTACCACCACATATTCATACTACTTAAAATATTTGAATGTACTTCATTCAGTCCTACACTTTTGAGAAATTATCACGGTATTCTAAATACAGGTTACCGGATGGTTAACAACTGCATCTTCGAATTTCCTACTACTTGTTGGTCATATTAAAGAAGAAGGAAGTGGGAAAACAATCCACATTGCAGTGTAAAATAAACAGTATGGTATTACTAGTTGTTGACTATCCAGAAAACAAACGATGCACAACTGTGTTGATCACACTCTTCCATCGGCTACAAAGTGTAAAATGTGGAACTTAGATAAGTACCACTGGTCGTATTATTTCATTTTATTTATGATCTAATTGTCAACATTATTGTATAGCTCGGTTTAAGAACTTTTGATTGATTCATTATTCATTTCTGTATGAATAATTGCATCCTAAATGAAGCACATTGTGTGTTATCTCATATTTTGTCCTTGAAATCACTCATTTCATTGTAAGAAATTACGGTGCGTTGTAGTCAAATAATTTAGTGGTATATACAAATGAATCATATAGCCTAGGTACGAAAATTTTTATTCTGTCGTACGTGATTGGGCGGTCAGAATTGGGTGACACATCGTGTGTGAACTTAGTATACAAGACTGGACAAATACAGTCGTGACTAATCATGTTCAAGATCAATGTTTAGACTGAATAAGCGAATCACTTGTTAACACATTTGCAGCCAGACAGACTGATAGCAAATTGGTGATAGGGTTGTCTCAGGAAAACAACACACAATTCTGAAGGATTTATACAAATCATAGGAATTCACTGAATAATATCGATTCGTTTACTTTGAGTCTTACAAGAGAGGAAACTATTTGAAACTGATGAAATGAACCAAGAGTAAGAGAAGACGTCTAATCTTGATAATGAAGACGATAGAACTTAACTTTAGTGACGGCCAATCACGTTCAAGTATGCACTGACTAATCAGAATCAAATATATGAAGGACACTGGAAAATGGTATTCCATATGCCATTAAGAAATCTGTTTTGTCGGAGATATAAAGTTATCTTGATTTTAAATAGGCTTATCATCTTTGAAACCATACCACTGCCTACACTGTCACTAATCCATATGAAACAATATCATTTAAATAACGTTTGGTAAATTTTTAGTCGTCATCCCATTAAAGGTTTTGAGAAATTTCTGAGATGACTCCACATATTTTCAACCTTGTTTGTGTGCACTCTAGTTGTCCGGTCAACGAAGTGATTTTTGTGAACAGTGGCTTGATGTGACTAACATTTCAGATAAAGGCAATGTATGACTTCCAAGCTTCTGTATATATTGTAGTATCCAAAGCTTCGTATTTTCAAAGAACTACTACGATAGATTATTATTATTATCTATTCCTTATTCACTAAAATTGTCCTCCCTTCGTATTTCCGTCGTATATACCAAGAATATGCGGTATACATACATACATTGAGTAAGTTACAACTGTCTTAAGCTACTTGAGACGTTTATGATTAGTTTCAATATGGAATAGTTGACCGAAGAGTTACTATCTCTATTTCACAAACGCTACAGGGCACGGAATCTTCATCACGTCCAAAAGCAGTGACACTTATTGAACGCAAACGAGAAGACTGAGACAAGGGTAGGAGTGAATATTGATAACAAGTGGTACAGTAGTCGTTAAATATGGTACACCTTGTACTAAGACAGTCATTCGCAAAATGTGCTTCACTTTCTCTTCTGCTTCTCTCTTGATTTGCTCTTCATACGCCAGCGTTGTCTCTTACATTTCTCTTGGAAGAATCCTTACCCATTGCTGGTAATTCCCTTTGATTTCTGCCATCTTCTCAACACACACTACTTATATGCATTCTTATCAAAGAGAAAAGAGTAAACGCCAACCTACTTCAAAAATGGAAGCGGTGTGAAAAAGAGGAAATATTGAAGGAACACTAAGAGAAGACAGAAGCAAGATGATCAACACACCTGCAAGCCTGACATTTTGACGTGAGGGCAAGTGTATTGGGCGTTGCTGATCACAATGGATGTAAGTAGTATATGTTGAGAGGGCGACAGAAATGATGGAGGCTAACCAGCAATGGGTAGATATTCTGGCCAGAGGAACACAAGAGACAACGTGGGTGTATTAAGAGCAAATCGAGGTAGAAACAGAATAGGAAATGAGGTATGTTATGTGAATGACTGTTTCAGTGCAAGATGTACAATATTTGATGACTGCTGTACAGGATGTCAATATAATCACTTCTTTCTTCGTCTCAGTCTTCTTGTACTTTTTTCAATCTAACCTTAATCCGGACATAATATCATCCTGAGGTAGATAGCAACTTCGGATACATAGAGTATATTTCAGTCAATAAAGTTAGCATAAGTTTACATTTCCAACTAATTTACTTTCTTTATACAGTTTTTTACCTTGAAAATGATTCGTCTAAACATCCGATAGTTAGGTGGAGTAGACTAGACATTTTATCGAGACTACATGAAAGACTATTTGCCATTAAGCCCTGAAATCATATCCTTAGACAACAATGACGTCTGATTGCAGCCTAATCTGTTTTCAAATATAGTAAGTATTACTACTTGAATAATAATCTTCATTATCTTGCGATAATCATCTGACCTGACCTGACCTGACCAAGCATAAATTCACTTTAACCCATCTGATGAAACTAAATCAATCAGTCTAAAAGTTGACCTTTTGTTGGAAGGTCACAGTCTTGTATGAAACAGTGTTATCGATTTATCATTCTCGAATAGCATGACTAGTAGTTTATTTTCTGCCCGCTGATTGGTTAATCCTTACTCTTTCTGTGTGAATGCCTCAATTTCCGGACAAGGTCATATGTCACGTGTTTTTGAATTAATTTATTGATTATTATTATTCAGAGGAATAAAGTCTCCAACTAAGCTGAAAACTCAAAATATATATTAGTGATTATTTTGTGCGTATTATTCACTTAAATTATAATTACATACTGAAATCATATGAATTTAAGGTGTATAATAATTTTCATCGGTGTAATCTTCAACTTTCATCTTATAGATTTTGAAAATGAAATTGAGAAAGTTCAAGTTGGCATTTAAAACCTTAACTAAGTAAAGTTTATGTTTATGTACCTGATCGTATTCTCTGTGTAATAACGCGTACAATATCATTGAATATTGTCAACATTAATTCATAATAAAAAAATGTCAATATTCCCCATGTTATACATAATAATAAACCAATTAAACATGCTGTAATTACTAAATATCTTGCAATATCACTTTTACGTCGATATTCATTAATATTATCAGTACGATAATCAGTATATGCACATAATGAATAAGCTAATGCTGGTACTGAACACCATATTGTTATTGGACAACAGAAAATTGCAAATAGACTACAAACTATTGGACATTTATCAAATGTATTATCACTAGCTAATGGTTGATATATCTCAGGATTATTATAATTATTTTGATCAATTCCAATAATTCCAGAAGCAGATCTAACTAGAAGTGTTTTAGCTGGTTGTGGTTGATACTGATGTATATAATGTGATTGTTGATGATTATGTTGTTGCACTGATGACTGTTGCTGCTGCTGCTGCTGTTGCTGCTGTTTATGAATATGAGGATAGTTTTGTTGATAGTATTGTGGTTGTTGTTGTGCTTGTGGTTGACATGGTAACGGTGTAAACAAATGATGATTATGTGGATTAAAAGTATACGCAGTATATGGTATATTATATTCATTTGGTATAATAATATTAGGATTGTTTTGAAGAGATAAATTATATTGAGGATGTAGATGATGAGGATGATAAGCAGAGTGTAAAGGTAAGTTATATTGAAAAGATTCATTTTTTTGTTCATTATCAAATTCTTCCATAATATTCCTGTCTATAGGTGCTTGAAGACCAACTAAACTACCTTGTGGATCATAAATTGGCATAGTATTGAATGCTGCGCCACAAACTTTACTATTCATATTCAATGGATTATGATGATGGGTTAGATTTCGATTCTTTGAATCATACTCTTCTTCTCCTTCTTCTTCTTCTTCTTCAGCTGTTTCTTCTACCTCTTGTATGATATGATTTGAAGTTGGATTAGAGTTTGTATGAATTTGAGACAAGTTTTCCACATGAGGAGGTATAGATGATGTTGATGGTACTGATGAATTTTGTTGAACTTGATTCATTTATTGAAAGTAAATTTTCAACCTTTGCATTAGCATAAAAATGGAATAAATCAAAGATAAGCTAGCTATTAACAAAATAGTTTCGTACACTCCAAGACTCATCAGGATGCATTACATCCTTTCAAATCTAATACGATTATACAACTGATATCCAAGTAAGTATAAAACTTTGACTGTGTTCATATCAAAGCTCAAAGGTGTCTTCATCAGTTGTACAAACTTGAGTAAACAAGAAAATCATACATGGACATACACGAACACATACACACACATACTGATCAAATCATCTAACGGTTCATAAAAAATGTTCTGTATAAAAAATATTTTACGGAACTAAAACACATTACAGCACTGAAACACTACAAAAAGTGTCCAAAACCAATAATTATTCACTCAGCTTTATCAAAAGTTCTATCTGGAGGTTTCAGGAAATTTATTAATTCCAGGTTGGAATTCATCATGGACTGACATAAGTTTGACAATCAGGAACCTGAGAGCACTGGACAGCTATTTCGTCCCATTACCACATTTCTCAACTGTGCGTACCCATGACCCCACCCAACCCACTGGGGATCCAAACCCGGGACCTTCAGATCCTGCGGCCAGCATGTTACCGTTCACCTACTGGGTCGGAATCCAGTGATCCGTATTTCATACTTCTGTCAGTTTATGATGTAGCATGACCTACACCCAAATGTCATCGTTGAGTAACTGTCCTCCTGTTCGACTTCGTTGACTTCATTGTCCATGACTTTTCATTGGAAGTTCAAGAATCATCTGTAGAAGCTAGGTGAATTCTCTCTGGAGAGAAGACATGGGAATTACCTCAGATCAATAGACAGTTTACTCTGTCGTACATCAGAGATGTCTTAAAAACTGTCAACCAACTATTTCGTCCTTTTGGGAATGGAGCAGAATACTTACTAATGAAATCACTACTCAATATGTTGTGTCAGCCGAAGGATCTGTGGTCGAAGGAAGACAGGACAACTACAATCTACAAAATCAGTTTTGCTGTTTATTGGTCTTGATGAATGCGTGTCTCATCCTTATTGGGACTCATCAATTAGATGTACCTGCACCCCAGAGGTCGAGTAGTTCAGCCCCGCATAGCAACGGGAAATCACAAGTATCATTATAACAACTGATATTCGTTGCAAAAGAGGTGGCTATAATGCCGCAGTGGCTGACTGGATAATGCTCTGACGTTTAAAGTGAAGGGTACTATGTTTGAGCCTTGATAGGAACAGCATCACTCCTCACTGGTGTGCAGATATGTCCAGCTGATGAGTCCGAAACATGACGAAACCCGTGGCCTCGATTCTTCTTCTACTAACCGAGATCAATATGACACCATGAATAATCGGCAGTATCGACGCATCCGCATACGAGTCTATTTGCCAGCATAGGTCGAGCAACTCGACCCTGTATAACAACGGGAAATTAGAAGTTTCATTGCAACTATGTTGTTCCGTCTAGCCATTGGATTGCTCAAGGGATTCATGAATGTCAACTGGCAGCAAAACAATATGACGTAGCTTAGTTTCAATGCATGTAAACAGCCGTAGTCACAGTTCCAACCAGGAGAATGTGAAAATTCTTCAATAAGTAGGTTCAAAGTCAATCGACATACACACGGATATCGACTTAATCTACAATCTAATTAGAAAGAAAAACAAACATCTATCAACTAAGGGCGAACTGACTTGAATGAAGATTTTTTAGCAGAGTGATAGAAAGAAGTGGAAGGTCAGTAATGTCAAAGTGCAATAAAATCTCTTCCCTAACTTCAAAATGGATAGTAAATGTGGGGATGAAACATCCGTGACATGATAACAAAGCTAGCAAAACACCAACTTACCAATATTCTCAATCTACACATGGACAAAGCTAGGGGGAATAAACCTGAAATTATTAGCATACGTAAGAAACCGTTGTTTATGAAATTGAGAATTAATGGAGATGCAGTCGGAGAAGTTTTAGATCAGAGACTCTCTAGAGTCATTAAGACGACCTTCTACGCCACACAGCTTTGTCGTTCATTTTCCAGTCGACCAATTCTTACTGCTCAAACAAAAGATAAGCTATCTACTTATGCCACTTCTATGTGTATTTACAAGTTTACCTGCTCTTGTAGAGAAAGCCATATAGGGTGTACTACTAGACAATTTCACAAACCTGTTGCTGAACATCTACCTTCATGGTTGACAAAGGAACAGATAAAAATCCATCAGAAGTTCGGTTTTATCTCACCTCGTTGATAGTGGTCACTTGATAGATAAGAACAATGCTTTCACAATTGTTCACCGCTTACCATCTCATCTTTCGAAAGGTTCTCGAAGTCATCTTTTACACATAACAGAATGTGTGAGAATTCGAGCTAATAATCCTAGTCTTCGTATCGAGAAGAAATTTGTACTTCCCATATCTCTCTCTTGGCCAGGAAATACTTGGTTAATAACCTTATCATTCAGTTTTTTCTCCTTCCCCTTCCTTATTCTTCACCCCTTTCATTATATTTACTGTATTTGTCTACACTTTGTTTATCCACTTACTTCGTCCTTCAGCATTACATCAACTTTATTTTCCCAAGCTTTTGACCACTTCCATTATCATCGGAGTGTCTACATTTTCATGCTGCTTTCTTGGTTCTTATCATCGTCTATATTGCATGGGCTTTAGTCAATGTTATCACTTTTTATCATCATTATCATTGATAATATTATTATCATCACCATTGTTACTCTTAAAAGATTTATCACATCAGGTGACAAATCAGTATGTCTGGTTTAACCTTTTACATATGTTAAGCTATTTGTATTGTAGAGTAAAGTCTGAAGAGTATCTAATTGGATACAATATTTAGAGGTAGTATTCATCATGGACTAGCACCAGTTGTGGAACGATTGAAAGTCTGGGAGCACGGGAAAGCTGTTTCGTCCTGGTATGGGACTCCTAAGCAGTACACACCCACGACCCGGCTAGGGATGGAACTCAGGACGTTCAGGTTTCATGGCGAACGTGTTAATCATTCAGCCACTGGGTCGGTTTCCAGTGGTTCACAATTTCTCACTTTTGTCATTTCATGACATTGTGCGACTATCACCCAAGGTCTTCAATTAGTATCCACTTCACTTCCAACTGGTTGATCCCACAGGTCATGACTTCTCACTAGAGCTTCATGATATCCATCTAGAAGGATGTCACTAATGATCACTATGCAGTAGCACAATTTTGAGATGAATGGAGATTTTTTAATTTAGAGGTAGTACACATAGTTCTATGTGGTGAATTGATAAAAGTGTGAAATTGTGAACCACTGAAAACCGATTCAGTGGCTGGATGGTTAACGAGTTCGACGGGAAACCTGAGGATCGTGAGTTCTACCCCCAGCCGGGTCGTGGGTGCGGACTGCTGAGGAGTCTCATACTAGGGCAAAGCAGCTACTGTCCAGTGCTCCCAGATTTCCAATGGTTCCCTAATTGATATTAGTCTATGATGAATACTACTTCTAAATTTAGCCATGGTTTTAGATTTTTGTCACCTACTTTATCAGTACTCTGAATCATTAATATACAAATTTCTCTATGGATCATGATTTAACTTTCCATATAAGAAGTATACGACATTATTGCTTGAAATACCCTGATAAATAATCCAATATCACACCACTTGGAAAGAAAAAAAGCGTGTTATTCCTTTGGGAAGTTGTTAGAGTACTGATTGTTTATAGACTATTCATCATAGATTGAAGTTATCTAGAGAATCAAGGAGAATAATTGTGATTTGAAATAGTAGGTTCTAACTTATTAGTCCAATATGTAACCTGATCCCTGATATATCTGATGGTGTTGTACTCGGTTCCTAATGAGGATATAAATGTACACTTATGAGAAATTCCAAAGTAGGGTTGAATGGTTGTTGAGTGACCAATAGTTATCTGACAGATATGAACACGAGGACATGCACTCAACGATGATGGTATTGAATGAAGATCGGGCTATATCGTGTAATGACAATAGTGGAGAATATACACCATTGGATTCGGAGACAGTGGGTCAATGGTGAATTGCTGGCTGAGAAACCGGAAGATAGTGGGTTCGATCCCTGGTAGAGTGAGCGACTTCATGAGTGCTCATCGGTGACGAGTTGCATACTAGAACGATACAGGTGTCCAGTGCTCTAAGGTTTCCTTTGTTCTTTCAACTGATGTCAGTCCACGATCAATAACAACCTAAAGTCAATAAATCCACACAAACCTCAAAATCAAATTAATGTAAGCGTAAAACTTGGACACTGTCGTAGAATGTAATTCCATATTAGATTTGTTGATTTCATTTATAACATACAGTGTGATACAGTATCATATACTTGATGTCAATGTTTCAAGCATGAATCATTACTGAGCATCATTATATCAATGTGTGTTATCAAACAACACTTTCAACATCTGACTTTTATAGTTCTGTCACCTTGTAATCCCTGTTTTTATTGGTGATAAAATTTCTATTTTTCTGGTATAGGGGTCGCGTCATTTCTATTATATGTGTTGGGTGGGTATTGATTCGATGAACAAAGATTCAGTAATCAATCTCTACCTACCTACCTACCTACCTACCTACCTACCTACCTACCTACCTACCTACCTACCTACCTACCTACCTACCTACCTACCTACCTACCTACCTACCTACCTACCTACCTACCTACCTACCTACCTACCTACCTACCTACCTACCTACCTACCTACCTACCTACCTACCTACCTACCTACCTACCTACCTACCTACCTACCTACCTACCTACCTACCTACCTACCTACCTACCTACCTACCTACCTACCTACCTACCTACCTACCTACCTACCTACCTACCTACCTACCTACCTACCTACCTACCTACCTACCTACCTACCTACCTACCTACCTAATTATATTGGACTCAAGTAGAGTGGTTTTATTCCATCCTAGTGTGTAATTGTGTGTTGATACATGCATTAC